GCGATTCCCCGTCTGGCGATATTGAGCCTGGTATTTATGTTGACGATTTGGCTGTTTGGCAAGTCATTCTTACTGAAGACGAAGTAAAAAACCTTTACGAACAAACAAAAGAGTGATTGTTTTTTGACAAATGCTAGACTAAATTTGATGTAAAGTGCACTTATCGCTGAAAAGAAAGCAATATTCTCTATCGTAGAATGCAATAAAAAGAAAATGAAACATTTGTTAGTGTTTCTTAAAGGCCACTTTATCTGGATATGGCAATTAATTTATCTAGATATTAATTCAAAAAGACTTAAAATATCTCAATTAAGTTATTAAAGTTAAGTTGATATCAACACGTGACAAGTTCCAGTAGCAGTAATTCAATAAATATTATTCTTATGTTGTTTTTGTAATTAGGTTAGAGGCAATCTTGGCCTAGATACCTTTTTAATAAAAAAGGAAAAGAAAAAATGTTGTACTGGACACCTAAGAGCAAAACTAATTTGAGAATACATTATAGACCATTTCTAACTCAAGATCACATCTTGTCACATCTTTAAACTCGTGCACTAGAGTTATTCAATGGTTGGTTTCCTGTTACATAGTAGCAAACAATTCATACAAAGTTTATGACTATTGGGCCAAGGGTCTAATAAACGTATCTTCAGAGCATAATAAACACTCCTCAGAGCATAAAACGTCAGAATAAGGTTCCGAAAGAACACGATGGAAAATATATACCCAGTTGTGAGTCGAAATAGGTCAATCAGAAAAACGCAAGCACAAGACCGGTATGGTTGACCAATCAGTGCCGCGAGCCTATAGTGTTGTTGCTAGAAAGTAAGGTGAATCATTTTTTGTATGAGGATGAAATGCTTGACAATTTCTCAAAACGATGCAAAAAAGGCAAATCGTTTCAACGGAAAAGCAGGCTACCCTCCTTTATTGAAATGGCCTGATTTGAATTCACAAGATTTTAATAGGAATTCAAGCAAAATACACATTTATTAAAGGTATGAAAAACTAGAAGCCAGTTGCAATTCATTTAAGGCTACTAGGAAACGGTACCACTAGCTTGAATTGTCGCTAAGTGATGGTAATCAAGAGACGATGAAAATGGCTCAATTGGGGATAAGAATCAGGGTCGGTAACTGTTTGCGAAAGGTAAAGCCCTCTTTCATTTGAACGCTTGTATGTGGAAGAAGATGGGAATTAGTAAAGCGTTTAGTAAAGCGAAATTCTTTGCACACTTCAAATAATTTTATGATATGACGTCTCTGGTGATAACACATTCATGATTTCTGCCAAGCTACTTTAACTTTTACCAGCAAGCTCAAAATTACTCTTCAGCCAATATTTTTGGGCAATTTGCACAGCAGAGCACTGAGAGTGTGGTTGAAAACACGTTAAACTTGTTTGAAAACATGTATCGTGGTCATATGGTGCAAATAACGCATGAGAACCTGTGAAAACATTGGAAACTATAAAACCCTCCTCTCGCTCGCAAAAAATTACTGATCGACAAATATTCGAAAGTGAACATTCAAGTTTCAAAATGGCAAGACAAGCTTTATTGATGTGTTTCTTTCTGCTTGCTGTGGCAACGTTCTGCTCTGCACAGCAAATGCCAGGAGGAATCGTGGAAATGACAAAAGATGAGATTGAAAAAGATGACATTCTCCACGCAGGAGTGACTTTTGCAGTGACAGAATACAATTCCAAAACCAACTCGAGGTAATATTTCTTCAATCGAGAGTCTTGACTTTTTTATCATATATCATAGTTATCTTTTTATATTCATAAATTAGGTGTCTTGAACTGTCATTCATTTCAGACTTCTTTGCACGATTATAACTGAATCGCTTGTAACAAATAGATTTATTATCGTTATTGAAAAGTGCGAGATCCAACCTATTTTGTAGTCAAGCTTAGTTTACTTGTTTTGCACAGATGAATTCATTGAGGTTGAACATCCTAGAGGGGTGAGGGAAAGGGATGACTCTTTACTTGAATAAGACAGGAAAGTCGTATGGAAATTGGGTCAAAGCCCGAGTTACTCGGGGTATATGACTTAACCGGATTCAACTGTAAAGTGATACTTGTTAAATACTTTCACTTCGCCAAACTAAAGCTTCTGATTGCTTTCCAGACTTATTGCTACAGAAATTTTACAAGCCACAAGACAGGTTGTTGCTGGCATCAAATATGTAGCCCTTGTTGAGTTGCGACCACGGCTTTGCGTGCATGATCCCAAACTCAAGATTGCTCCATGCCCACCACAGCTAAACTTGCCAACCAGATGTGTGTTTGACATCCTTCATCAAGCTTGGATGCCTTTGAAATACACAGTTCTGTCTACAAAGTGCTTTAGAGCGCAATGAACATAAATCTTAAGAATTTGTCTGTAAGCAAATTATAATTCATGAAGAAGAAAAGTAACACACTGTTATGTTTTTTAGACTGAATCTTTCTGATAGCAAAAGAGCAGATCCATCTACAGATTGCTAAAAATACCTCGTTGACTGTTCTTGCAATCTAAACTGTTTTTTGTTTGAGAATCTGTTCGAGAAATGTTAAAAAAACATTTCTTTCTTTTTCTTTTTCTTTTCTTTCTTTTGCTTGCATTTGCAACGATTGCATTTGCTTGTACTTGAACCTTTAGTTGCTTTAAGCAAAACCATAGTCATTATCGGTCCTTTTTGCTCTGTGTTTTAAGCATGCAGACAGCCAAGATACGTACTAACGGTCACATGGCGCTATAAACGCGACTCCTATCTATTATGGTAACATGTGCTTTATGTTTTCGCTTTTTCGTGGCATTCTGAAATTTCAAAATATGATAGACTTATTGAACTGTTTCAAAGCAACCGTAGCTTAGCCATGTGCTTACACCCCGTTTATTATACACATTGGTGACCAATTACAGTGGAATAGGGTGTAAAACAAAATAGTCAAAACCAAGCTAGCTGTAGCCATCGTTGGAAAAAAAGTAAAAGAGATTTCTGCGCCGCCTCTGGTCCTGTGCGTTACAACAAATGCTTCAATTTTGTGATTCCTTTTCCTTAAGTTTCAATAGCGGAGAAGTCGGCCTTGTATTCACTTTGGGTGCCACTGAAATTTTAGCAATGATTACAATGGCAATTTCTTATGTTTAGATTACGTTAATTTCTTGCTTTTTCAATTTCAAATATCAGACGCCATTTCGACAACTGAGTAATTTTTGTGAAGTCATTCTTGCTACAGCTACACTGGTTTTCTTAAACGCAGAAAACAATAGACTGTATGCACACGAGCCGTGTAGCCTCCTCAAAAGAAACCTGGAAACATAGCTACAAATTTACAAGCGGATTTTTTGACCGCATTTTCTGAACATTTCAAAAATATATGCTTTCTCCGCTTATATTCGCTATTTCGTAAGCAAGAATGTACAGAAGCTTTTAACGTGATTGATGATGTTAAATATTTGAACTTTGAACACGAGTATTCATGCTTCATTCAGCATTGCACAGAGGTAAAGCTAGAGCTTCCTTGATTTTTTATTTAATATCCTTCTTTATTTACCAGAGGCACTGTTGCTGTAGGACAAATAGCCATATAGCCCCTTTTTGGTATAATCGTAGGATTTTTGGAAATGTCAGTGTTTTGACAGGAAACCCTCGAAAATTTCTTTTCAAAACCATGTCTTCACTGCACAAACTTACCCGGATAAACTAACCTAGGTTAAGTCAGTCTGGTTAGTTTTTTTGTAGTGGGAATGCAGCTAGCCCGGGTTTCCCCCGGTTTAATCTAGGCGAGATTTCGAGGTGGATTAGTTTAAAACCAGCCAGGGTTGGTTTTGGCAGATGTATTCTAAGCACGAAACTGAGGCGAACCCGGGTCTGTTTCAAAGGTGAGCATGCGCACTCCTGTTTTAACAAAAACAAACCCACGTAAAAAAATTTAACGCTTTTTTCGTGTCACTTGTCGGGCGCACGAACCTTTGATCGTTTTCGGGAAATCTTAGAGCTTGTAACCTTAATATAGAGATGCCTTTACTGTCATGCATTAGTTCTAGTTTTGAGTCCTATTGTTATAGCCTCGTTTTGTGATAGTGATTCAAGTTTGATTCTAACGTAAATGTGCTTGTTCTCTACTGTGTACTCGGCCTGATATGTTACAAATTGGCGACGAGGAATGGTTTCGGGTCCTAATATTATGTTTGAATGGTAACATACGGGACTGTTGTGGAAGATCCCAGTTTTTTGTTTGAAGAGAAAGCTCAAGTAGGCCAGCTAAACGAATTGAGTGGTGAAGACGAGCTCTGGTTTCTTAGTCCCATTTTGTTTGGGATTTTCAAAAGGAAGTTTCTTTCACTCTGGGGCCAAAACATGGAATGAGATTCCAAGAAACATCAGAAGGAGCCCCACATTTTCCGTGTTGAAAAAAAACTTGAAGGAATTCCTACAAAGTTAATAAATTCCCAAAACAGAACACGATCCCTAGGTAGAATCTCAATTTCATGAACAAACACGATCTTTATTTTATATATATTAGAAAATTAATTTGTAGTAGAAGTAGTTTATTAACATTATATCTGAAAGGGAATTAAGACCCCGTTTACACTGTCCCGGGACAATTTTGTACCGTTACGGTTCGCAAGTGTTTACACTGTCGCGGTTCCAAATTGTTCCGTTTAGCCGTTCCGTTTACACTGTACCGGTACGACCTTAATTTAATGGTAGAACATTGTTTAGAGGAAGCTGTATTTAGTCAACCAAGGCTTTTAGTTTGCCGCTGAAGTCAACAATCGAATTTTTATTGTGAGTTAAAATGGAGCGGAAGGCCGATTAAAACTTTACTTTGACGAAAGAAAAGGTGGCTTTAATTTTCAGTGTTATTTTAGACTACAAAACTGCCAAGTCCAATCAAGGCTTGGACTGGGAAACAATACAAGCCTTTTCTGTGGTCGTCTTTTCTTCAGAATTTCCTTTTCTTCAGAATTTGAGAACGTAGTTACGCCACAATCAAAGCCTCGATTACCTGAAACAGCCATACAAAAGACCTCTTTGTGAATCCGTGACAAAATCGTCTCGGATAGGTGTTTACACTGTCCCGTTCAAAAACGGAACCGTGACGGTACAAAATTCGTTCGCTTTCAAAGCAGGGTCAAAACTGTTCCGGATAGCAGAGCAAAATCGTCACGGTTCCACAGTGCTAGTGTAAACGCAAGGGCGAACCGCGACAGTTTTGTCACGGTTCCAAACTTGCACGGGACAGTGTAAACGGGGTCTCACGTATAAAGATTTTTAAAATGAAAATCAACAAATTAAAAAAAATGTTCGCTTGAATGCTGACGTAGCATTTGCATGGCACAGGTGCTAGGACAGGTTGGTCCCTATTGTGAAGGGAAGGAGGACTGGGCTTGCTATGTGGAAAGGCTGGAACAGTTTTTCATTGCAAATGATATTACTGATGCATCCAGGAAAAGGACTGTGATTTTGAGTGGAATTTGACCTTTAACATATTCGGTATTGAGAAATTTGATGACCCCAGATATTCCTTCAAGTAAGTCGTATGATGAGCTGAAAGCTACATTAACAGCTCATTTTAAACCACAAAATAGAAATGAGTCTATTTCAGATTATATTGTTGAGTTGAAGAAACTTGCAAGTACTTATAACTTTGGGGTTTTTTGTCGATTGCTTTGCGGGATGGGCTTGTTTGACGTTTGCGTTCAGAGAGCATTCAGAGGAAGCTTTGGGATTCCATGGAATAAGTTGTTGTTGACCTTACCTTTGACAAGGCACAGAGAATCACTGTTGCCATGGAATTAGCCCAAAGGAATGTAGTTGATTTACAGCCATCAAGTTCAAGTGGTGGATTAGGAGTTAACAAGATAGAACATTAGAATAATAAGCAGGCAAAAGCAAGTTATTCTGTTTCTAAATCTGCTAAACCTGCTCCAACCAGTGCACCTGCTGGTGTTGCTAAAACTTAATGCAAATGATTGCAATTTCCAATCATTGAAATGTTTTAATTGCTCCAAACAAGATCATTCTGCAAAGGGGTGTAGAAATGAAAAGAAGAAAACTACCAGCTGTGAAAACAGTTTTTCTTGGTACTTCATCCAGTAATGTTGGGTATAGTAGTGATGAAGACTTGCATACGACCTTTATTTGTAGAGGTGATTCTAGGGCTACCTTGCAAGAAACAGTTTCTGTCAATGGTGTTCCTTTGACTAAGAAAATTGACACTAGAGCAGTAGTTTTAGTTGTTCGAAATGCTATTGATGAGAAGTATTTGCCACATGTGCCCTTGGGTTTATTTACAAACCATTTTTGTTCTTATTCTGGTGAGATTCTTGCAACTAAGGGAGAAATTTTGGTTGATGTTGAGTTACCATTGTCAGGTCAAAAGGCTAAGTAAACAATTGGTTGTTGTTGATGGGGACAAACCAGCTTTGTTAGGAATAAAATGGTTGATGGAAATTAAGCTTGATTGGAATCAGCTGTTAGTGGTAATTTACGGTTTGGGTGAGGAGTTAGTAAAAAAATACAAGTATGTTTTAAATGCACGGTGTTATAAAAGGATTTAAAGCAGATTTACTTATTTAAATCTCATTCTAGAAAGATGCTAGACCTGTTTTTAAGAAAACCCGTCCTGTTCCTTTATCTTTGAAGGAAATTGTGGAGAAGGAATTTGATCGTTTGACCAAAGGTGGTCAAAGATAGAAAGGTTAAATTTTGGTGTCGCTAGTGCACCTGCCATATTTCAGCTAGTCATGGATAGGGTATTGTCTGGTGTAAAGAATGTTGTATGTTACTTGGATGATATTCTGATCACAACTAGATCTATTGAGGAGCATAAGGAAATCCTATCAGAAGTTTTGCAGAGGCTTGAAAGTCATAACACTAAAGCTAAACTCAGTAAATATGAATTCTTTAAGTCTTCTGTCACTTACCTTGGATACAAGATAGACAGGATTGCATCCAACTGAAGAGAAAATCAGGGTCATTATTGATGCACCTGCTCCAACCAGTGTTACAGAGTTAAGATCCTGGCTTGAATTGATAATTTATTATGGGAGGTTTCAAAGAAGTCTTCCCTCCATTTTAGGGCCTTTGCATAAGCTGTTAAGAAAGTATGTAACTCTGAAGTGGTCAGAGGCATGTCAGGAAAGCATTTAATGCTTGTAAAGCACAGTTGAGCAGCAGTAGGGTAGCTGCACTGTGTTGCATGTGGTTTTGGAGTTGGAGCTGTGCTGTCACATGTAATGGAAGATGATTCAGAAAGACTAATAGCATATGCTTCTAGAACATTAAGTTCAAGTGAAAGAAACTATGCACAATAAGCAGGGGCGTCGTGACGAATGAATTCTAGAGAGGGCCAAGAAGAAAAATTTCCGACAAAATTTCTTTGATTTATTTTAATCAAATAGAAGTATTTCATGTTAGTGTAGGGGCGGGGGGGGAACACATAACCTTTGCTTTAGCTTTAAAGATATCTAAAATGCACTTTGAACTTGGTCTCATACTTGCTGTGTAAGTCCCTGACATATCGCAACACTATTGATCTGTAGGATTTGAATAGGACAAGGATTTGAACAAAGTTACTACCATGGTTGCTCTCGAAAGAGAAATTTTTTTATCATCTTTATGCTTTAAGTTCGCCGGAAATTACATTCATTTGAGTGAATCTCAATAATAAAATTCTATTTTCAAAATGAACATCCACTGGGGGAAAGCGATGGTATTTATTAATTTATTCCTTTTTTTACCTTATGCAACATAACTGCCTAAATTTCAATATCTGGGACAAAATTTTAAAATCTGGTGATAAGCAAAGAATTGGCACTGTCCTGGTCTTCAATATCAAATAAAGATGAATTGATGACCAAAATTGCAAATTTCCATAACCAAATTTAGCTCTTGAAGATTTTAATTTTAACAGACGAAATCCGAGCAGCAATTTATTCTATGGCAGAAATTAGTATATCCTGAGAAATCATTTTGCTTTTGTGGAAATCTAGTATATTCTTTACAAAAGTGAATTGTTTCTCGATTATACGATAAGTATTTTAGTTCAAGTAATTTATTTGGCTAAAAAGTTCGTTTCATTCCTCCTTTTTACCCATAAGTTTGAGAATTTTCCGACAGAACAATTATTTTTTCCGAAAATCTGTCAAATTTTGGAAGCAGAGGGGGCCACGGCCTCCCTTGCCCACCTGGCCACGACGCCCCTGACAGTTAAAGAAAGAGGCCTTAGCAATGATTTTTGGGGTAAACAAATTACACAAATATTTTGATGGAGGAACATTTACTTTGGTGACAGATCATAAACCGCTGAATTCTATTCTTGGTGCACAGTCTGGTATTCCAACACTAGTAGCAGCTCGATTGCAACGTTGGGCTTTGATCTTTGCAGCTTATCAATACAAACTGTCGCACAGCTTATCTAATGATCAGGCAAATGCTGATGCACTTTCTAGATTACCAAGTGGTAATTTACAGGAAGGAAAAGAGCCTTCAGTGTGCCAAGTTAGGTTTACTAATACTTTGCCAATCTCTGCTAAAGATATACAGCAAGTGACAGGAAAGGTATACCTTTATCCAGAGTTCTTTCATTTGTTTTGAATGGTTGGCTAGAAGCTTGTGGCACTTAAGAGTTAAGGCCATATTTCAATCGCAAGCTAAAGCTATCAGCAGAGCAGGGGTGTGTATTGTGGGGTAAAGGATGATTATTCCACCAAAATATAGAAATAGCATACTTGAAGAATTACATGAAACACGCCAAGGTATCTGCCGTACCAAAGCTTATGCCAGAAGTTATATCTGGTGGCCAAATCTTGATTCACAGATAGGAGAATATCTACAGAGTTGTGAAAGCTGTCAAATGTTTAGAAATAAGCCAGCACATGCTCCATTGCATCCCTGGAAGTTTCCAGCAAGAGCCTGGCAGAGAATTCATATTGACTATGGAATGCTTGACAGACAGATGCTTTGATTGTCATAGATAGCTATTCCAAATGGATAGAAATGCACGTAATGTTTGGTACCATCAGTGGAGCAACCAGAGCTAGGCTGGGGTACATTTGTGCAAGCTATGGATTGCCAGAGGAACTTGTTTCCGATAATTGTCCTCAGTTTGTTTCTGAAGAGTTTGACATGCAGAGTATGTTAAGTTTAGTAAACCTAATCTAATGTTGAATTGAGTTATTTTGAATAGGCAAGGTGAATTTCTGGATAAGAAGTTTAAACTTTACCATCAGTATTGATTGAGCCTGAAGTTTTTACTGAACCACCGACCGTTAACTTTTTAATACAGCTAATCACCTGTCATACCATCCTCACAACCGACAACATGTTTTCCCTAGCATTATAATCATCATCACCACCATTACTATCATCAACATTCCATTATTCTCAGTTCCATCACAATTATTATTATTATTTTTGTTTTTTTATATTCATGTTCATAGTCATCATTATCATCCCATTACATCAGTCTCTACAGCACCACCCACAATCTCTCACATCACCAACCACCCTTCCCCCCTCCACTTCCATCATCCCACATTTTCTCCACTGCGCTGCATTCACACCGTTCAGCATCCACCAATCCGGTATCACCATTTCACATTTCAAATTAATTCACTCGCTCGTTTCATTTACTCTGATGAAGCCCTGTGTGCCGGGGCGAAATATTAGTAAAAAGATTTACCTAGTAAAAAGACTCCAGAGAAGGAAGAGTTACAGTTAGAGTCAGAAGTTCAAAAGTCTCCTGAGGTAAGAGTTGCAAAGACTCCTGATGTGAGCTTTCCTGCAAAGACTCCTGAGAGACGTTATCCAGCAAGATTCAGAAGACCTCCAAGATACTTGGACTAGGGTAAATAAAAAAACAGTTGGAACTAAAAGCCAGAATAATGCTTTTCTTCCTGTTTTCCAAGTGCTGGTAGCCCACCCAGCATTTGTAGTTGAGTTTGTTGTATTATTTCATTTATCTGCTAAACGTGTTGGACATTTATCTTCAAGGGAGGAAAAGTGTGATATATTAGTTCTAGTTCTGAGTCCTGTTGTTATAGCCTCGTTTTGTGATAGTGATTCAAGTTTGATTCTAGCGTGAATGCGCCTGTTCTCTAGTGTGTACTCGGACTGATCTATTACATCTATCATGTTAAAAAGCTTTTTATTTCAAATTCAGGCCGTTATTGATCCTAATCCAAGGAGCTCCAAATTACTTCAAAGCAGTTCTGCAAGCTATCCAAGGAGCTTCAAAGCAGTTCTGCAAAAACACTCATGTTAAAAAATCAAGGATGTTGATAAATATTATTTGTTTCTTTTTAAATCTTTTTCTGACCGCACCTTGAAAACGATGGTGGCACCGTGGGGTCGTGGGGTCGTGGGGTCGTGGGGCCGTAGGGTCGTGGGGCCGTTATGTTTTCATGCCTATTTGTAGACTTCTTGACACTATGCTTAGAGATTCGTTGCCTTGAAGTGTGAGAAAATATACAGCAACGTCAAAGAAAAATGAATAGCATTCGTTAGAGTGGGTTTTTGGTCGGGACGGAAAAGAGTAGATGAATAGAGAAACCTGTGTGTCAAATGGATTTATGGTTAACTATATACTCTTTATGTTTACATAATTTATAGAAATTGCCTTGTTTGTAAGTTATGTTGCTAAGGTATTATAGTCAGAGTGTTCGCAAACTGTGACTCATTTAAGAAAGTAAACTTTTGGCAGATGAATAGCGTTGGTAAGTAACTAAACTTAAAAATATGTTTACTTCACCGCTTAATGAAGGTACGCTTTAAACGAAAAACAAACTGGTGACAGGCTGCCCTTTTGTCTGATTTCAAAATATGATCGAGTCTTCATAGTATCGTTTAAACTTTAGCTAACCAACCGGGTGCCATTCCATAGGGTTAATGGGGTTGGATAAAATATTGGAGAAATAGAGTTGATGTTCGACTAAGTTAAGGCCTTAGCCTCGTTTCCCTACGCTTTATACATTCGTTTTGTTATACAAGAAACCAATCCAAAAAAGCGAACCTTAAGATGATCTAATTAGAAAAGCAATAAATTTCATTACGCTCAACCACAAAAATGTTTGTCGATACATCTTGCGGTGTTGGAAATGATTATTTTGACGGCAAAACACAAATTTCTTGTTTCATTGACATAGATAGATCCTTGTGACTTATTAAGTTTCATTTCCTCTGATGTTATTTTCTTTCGAAAAACTAGCTCCTTAGTATTTGGTATTTAAGGTTAAAGTAAGCGTTTTAGATGCAATATTTGGTTTTTTCACTCTGAAAGCCAAAATATTAATGGAATCGGATAAAATTGTAAATCATTCGATTCATATCAAAATAATTATCAAATATCAAAATGATACTTCACAGGCAAATTTATTGCTTTTGAGTGTACCACCTTCAAAAGCTATTTCGTACCATTGCGTTTGACGTAACAAAATCTGACTTATATCAGCAGAAAGCGCAGATCCTTAGCTACCAAAGTGTGTCTTAGATTTTTCAAAGTTTTCCTTCCTTGGAAGCTATACTCTGTGAAAAATTGGTCATCAATTTTTCTACACTCCCGCAGTTGTATTTGGCTATAAAAGACAGACAAGACCAAATACAAAAATTTAGAGACACTCTTTGCTTACCCAACATCTGTGCTGGCCGTATGCAAATATTTGAATCATTGACCGGAGAATTTACCCTGGTTACGGTAGCGTACTCAAAAAGATCAAGTTTTGAGAGTTTGCACAAGACAAAGTGAAACCAGCCTCGAATGAGTACGCTTTCGTAAGTGTTCGCAAGTCCCAAATGGGTTGGCTCTAAAGTTCCTGTGTGACCTCTTCTTCTAGGGATGTCTTCAGACTGCTATTAAGAGACGGTTGCTTCTTTTTTGATTGTGAAATCTAACAGCGTTTCAGTGTACATTTGTTTCCAATAATGTAAAATATATATTCAAGAATCAAGGTCCGTTTAAAATCAGCTTAGGCTCAAGGTCCACCCTCTTTCAAGTAGTCAAACAAAAAATATACAAGGGAAACAAATTAATCTTATCTTTCATAGATAATCAAAAACAATGATGACAAGACTGTTCCGAAGAATCGACATGAAGATGACAGCTTTTGCTGACTGGAAACTTCAACTAATGGTGATGCTGGCATTTCCATTATCAACATTGTCAATCTCATGCAGCTCTAGATTTCACTGCAAAACGCCTGAAGTCAAATACATCAGCATGGATAAACTGACAAATATGACCTTGAATGGAACAGTGCTTAAGTCATTCCAAGCAAAGGACATTTCAGAATGCCAGAGATCTTGCCTCCATGAAGAAAAATGCCAGTCACTGAATGTCAATATCAGTACAGCGATTGGCCTGATATGCGACCTTTTGGACATCAATATATATAGCAATTCGTCGCTTCTTCTTCAGCAAAGTGGATCCGTTCACCTCTTTATTCCGGTATAGTTAAAAGCGATTAATTTATACTTTGCGATTCAAAAGGAATAACTTTTATATGTTGATTACTTGCAAACTAAGAAGCTTGATGTAAAGAAATCTCTTTTTAGAATGAGTGCAAGAATAAACCATGCAAGAACAATGCAATATGTGTGCCCAACTATCAAAACGACTCCTACAGCTGCGAATGTAAATCGAATGGAACATGGATAACGAAAGGGCTTCATTGTGAAACGATACTGAGTAAGTTCTTTTAAAGTGTTTCGTAAGAAATAAAAGCGTGTATTTGCAAGGAAAAAGAACTCTTATCGAACTAGGAAATTCAAAATCCAAAGCATCCAAGTAGTAAACAAATAACAACTAAAGATAAGATATATGATGTTAAGACCGCTGTTTAAACAGTTTAATCCCCTCTCGGAAATACGTTACTTAATTATCTAACATTTAATTTTCAAACTTCTGCAGGCGGATATTCCAGTGCCTTTGTTTACTGGTCCTTCGACGACCCAGCAAGTTCAAGTCCTTTAACAAGCACCAACTTGGATATGTCATCGTTTGTTCTATCATGGGATCCGGTCTCGGAACCAGGTCGGAAACATCCGGTTGTTAAATGCAAAGATGGTTCCAATTGCATACAGATATGGAAAAGTGTACCATGTATAAAGTAAGAATAGGCTAATTTAGTTGTCTATATAACCTTGATTTGTCGATATAACCTTGATATAGTTGCTGAGCTATATCGAATAAATATTTAACATCGTAACTTTCAGTACTTTATTTCAAAATATTTATTTAAATGTATCTGCCCTTCCTTGCAGCTCTTTCAGTACCTGCAAAAGAACGATAACGTATAGTATGTGGATAAAGTATACCGAATATCAAGCTACAACCAAAACTTATTCATTGCTTATGCTCTCAAACGAGTTTGGAAGTCGTATAGGTATCGATTTTAGATCAAGGTTGTCGGGAGATTTTGCTTTTCGTGCGGCTGTTACTACAGGCAAGAAATGGGATTTAACTGGATTTGGAAGCTCTGTCATTAAGACAAATTGGAATCAATTTACTTTAACTGTGGACGATAACATTGGAGTTTGTGCCTTCATCAACGGAGTGAAAGATGCCTGCCAAACTACATATCAATCGGTTTCATTGACTGAATATGCAAATACAGCAGTTAGATTGGGAGGCGCTTGGTATGCCGATAGTGAACCCGACATCTATATTGATGACTTCGCCGTGTGGCAAGTGGCACTTACTGAAAACGAAGTAAAAAACCTTTACGAGCAAACCAAAAATTGACATTGTAAGAAGAACTTATAGTTAACCCCATTCAATAAAGATAAACTAACTTGAGCAAACGAATAACAAACCTCAATTCAGCGTTCATTGAGCATGTGTATTGAGCACAATAAGAACATTGCATGCTTTGTGAATGTAGAGCGGGGGGCTAGCTCCTTATTCAGTTACATTAGAAAAGGGGGTTATGAATTTCACATTTTCGATTCCTAAATAAGAACTTAACTTTCAATCTAATTTGTTATTTAGCTTGCACAGGCATGTATGTGTTATAAATTTGTTTTTGTGCATGTTTAACGATACACTTGCTCGCAGTATTGAAATAGCGCTAGTCATTCCAATTTGTTGTACTAGTTTAAATTAATAACTTTTGCTTTTAAACTTATCAATTCGATAATGTCTATGACTAGAAGATGCAGTAGTCACTTTATGAAACATCAATATCATTTGCATCTGCGGAAAAGTTATAATTTGAGACGTCGCCAATTAGCTCGCCTTTCCATCACTCAGTGAATAGTCGCATTCGCCGATTCGTTGATTCGCCTTCGCCAAAGTCGCGCGGCCATAGTGAATCAAGTGGAAACCGGCCTTTTGTGAGATCGAACTGGCAGTTATTTGCTGAATTTTCATGACTTTCATAATTTTCAAGTTTTGCTCTAGCCAAGAGCATATTTTGTTAAGAGAAAAATACTTCAATTATTCATGATACTACAGATTCATTTTGGTAATGGATTCAAGTTTTGGAAAGCACCTGATAAAAACAGGTATTCAGCACGGCGACAATTGACTTTAGTATTTATCCAGTTGAGGGGCTGATCGGCAACAAAAATCGACATAGTTCAAATTGGCACTAACGGTGATATAATTTAGGCTTTACATAATCAGTTAAGCAATTCTACTCTAGCTAAAGTCATCTTCAGGAAGATTCTTTTTGATTGGGATTGATGCTGCTCTTCTTTAACGTATTATGCATCTTTCAATAGTTAGAGATTATATTTTTATTTGTTCATTTGGTGTTGCTTTGCTCTTTATCACCGAACCACTAATCCAGCCGTACCAAAGTGGCTTGAAAACTATCTCAAATGCAACTCAATCTGCTTGACTAGCATGCTACAACTATTCTTTCTTACTTTCTAGTCAACACATACAAATCGAAACATTAGCCAGGGCAAAATACAGCAGATTGCTCCAGAGACAAGAGTGTTTCATACTCCTCAATTCATCACACACTCTTTAAGGCATGCGATATTTTGCACTGCTTGATTTTTCAATTCCTTTCATGGTTAGAATGTCTTCTGCGAAGCAAAATTTCCATGACATTTCCACGACTGTAATATTCTTAATGCATGCAATATTTAACTGATGTGCATACTAGTCTCAGTCCTGCTGGGATCACGTCACATAAATCACAACTTATTCTTGAATATCTGCAAAACAGGAATCCTGCTCTCTTAAATAGAGAAATCAAATATTTAGGCATTGTACCTTATACTGAAAATGCGCCCAATTCACAGCAAATGGCGAGTTTAATATCCAATATTGAGCCAAGCAGATGCAGGGTGATTTCTCACTTGTTTCAAATGACCTTAGTGACGATACACAAGTGAACTCATAGATACGTAAACACTGTTTCACTCTATATTGGTTTTCTTATTGGACGCTGGCTGTTTCACCCAAACAACTTTTACTGGCATGTTGCTAAGCGGGATGTCCCTTGTGACACAGCCCCTTCAAACCCTGACGATTCTTTGAAAAATTAAAACTCTTCAAAATTGGTTTTGGGCTATTGCTGCAAAAAATATAAGAGATTAGCTTTTGTGATGATTTGGCATGAAGCTTATTTCATAAAGCTCGAGCTAATCCCTGCTTTTAGCAAGGCTGATTTTCAGCAAATTAGCGAAATCAACGCAAAGGTTGCACTTGGCATGTGCAGAAGTGGAATCTATTTACCATCAAGATTTTAATAATTTTCGTTGAGCAAATGCAACCAGTTCCATTTTTTGCATCTTGTATCCTTTAGCGATTGTCTTCTACTTTTTATTAGGTTCGTTAGTTTTCCTGTTTCGCTACACTTCTCTCTGATGTATCCAGCAAAGTTTGAAGTGTCTGACTGAAGAATGACCTTATGTAATACTTATGTAAGCTGATTTTAAATACTTAATGAGTCGTCTTGAAATTGTGTCATTATGAGCCTCATATTAGAGATGTGTAGCGCTTGCACAAGAGTTTTATGTAATGTTTGAAGATGATTTTGAATTCCTGCTGATCTTAAGTTTGCTTTGTGTTAACTCTGCTGAACTAAATACGCTAAACCCTGAACTTTCGTTGTTACGACGTTGAGGTTGGCATCTTACCGTTGTTACGACGTTAACTTTGGCGATCCTAGCAAACAGCTTAATTTATTAGAGATAGGTATCAAAACACCCCGAATTATTGGGAACTCATTCTCATTCTTGATACAAAAAGTTTTATAGAGAAAGCAACGACTGAAAGTATCTAAGGGGAGTTTGACCATAAATTTTAACAAATCGAAAAAATTAGAAACTTTCTATCGTTATTGGTTGAAGTAATTGGGAAAGCTTAGAATATTAGGAGATGTAATAAGTATACTAACTGCATTCTTTGTTACTATTCACTATGACTCGATAAACAAAATCGGTTGAAATTACGTTAAGTTTCGACCTTTTACAAACTTTACGTAATGTTAGAGCCTAAAATTTAGCGCAAAACAGTTCTACAAACACATTCATGTTAAAAATCCAAGATGTTAATAAATATTATTTGTTTCTTTTAAATTTTTTCTGACCGCACCTTGAAAACGATTTCTTCGTAAAGTAATACGATTTCTTCACCCTCCTTAATTTCTTTTCGTTTTTGCGACTTTCCTCCGGCCAGTGGCCGTGGAACCGTGGGGCCTTGGGGCCGTGGGACCGTGGGGTCGTGGGGCCGTGGAGCCGTGGGGCCGTGGGCCGTTATGTTTTCATGCCTATTTGTAGACTTCTTGACACTATTCTTAGAGATTCGTTGCCTGGAAGTGTGAGAAAATATACAGCAACGTTAAAGAAAAATGAATAGCATTCGTAAGAGTGGGTTTTTCGTCGGGACGGAAAAGAGTAGATGAATAGAGAAACCTGTGTGTCAAATGGATTTATGGTTAACTATATAATCTTTATTTTTACATAATTTATATAAATTTCCTTGTTATAAATGTCAGAGTGTTCGCAAACTGTGATTCAGTTAAGAGAGTAAACTTTTGGCAGATGAATAGCGTTGGTAAGTAACTAAACTCAAAAATATGTTTACTTCACCGCTCAATCAAGGTACGCTTTAAACAAAAAACAAACTGGTGACAGGCTGTCATTTTGTCTTATTTCAAAATATGATCGAGTCTTCATAGTATCGTTTAAACTTTAGCTAACAAACCGGGTGCCATTCTATAGGGTTAAGGGGGTTGGATAAAATATTGGAGAAATAGAGTTGATGTTTCACGTTTGACGTAACAAAATCTGACTTATATCTGCAGAAAGCGCAGATCCTTAGCTACCAAAGTGTGTCTTGGATTTTTCAAAGTTTTCCTTCCTTGGAAGCTATACTCTGTGAAAAATTGGTAATCAATTTTTCTACACTCCCGCAGTTGTATTTGGCTATAAAAGACAGACAAGACCAAATACAAAAATTTAGAGACACTCTTTGCTTACCCAACATCTGTGCTGGCCGTATGCAAATATTTGAATCATTGACCGGAGAATTTACCCTGGTTACGGTAGCGTACTCAAAAAGATCCAGTTTTGAGAGTTTGCACAAGACAAAGTGAAACCGGCCTCGAATGAGTACGCTTTCGTAAGTGTTCGCAAGTCCCAAATGGGTTGGCTCTAAAGTTCCTGTGTGACCTCTTCTTCTATGGATGTCTTCAGACTGCTATTAAGAGACGGTTGCTTCTTTTTTGATTGTGAAATCTAACATCATTTCAGTGTACATTTGTTTCCAATAATGTAAAATATATATTCAAGAATCAAGGTCCGTTTAAAATCATCTTAGGCTCAAGGTCCACCCTCTTTCAAGTAGTCAAACAAAAAATATACAAGGGAAACAAATTAATCTCATCTTTCATAGATAATCAAAAACAATGATGACAAGACTGTTTCGAAGAATCGACATGAAGATGACAGCTTTTGCTGACTGGAAACTTCAACTAATGGTGATGCTGGCATTACCATTATCAACATTGTCAATCTCATGCACCTCTAGATTTCACTGCAAAACGCCTGAAGTCAAATACATCAGCATGGATAAACTGACAAATATGACCTTGAATGGAACAGTGCTTAAGTCATTCCAAGCAAAGGACATTTCAGAATGCCAGAGATCTTGCCTCCATGAAGAAAAATGCCAGTCACTGAATGTCAATGTCAGTACAGCTATTGGCCTGACATGCGACCTTTTGGACATCAATATCTATAGCAATTCGTCACTTCTTCTTCAGCAAAGTGGATCCGTTCACCTCTTTATTCCGGTATAGTTAAATGCGATTAATTTATTCTTTGCAATTGAAAAGGAATAACTTTTATATGTTGATTACTTGCAAACTAAGAAGCTTGATGTAAAGAAATATCTTTTTAGAATGGGTGCAAGAATAAACCATGCAAGAACAATGCAATATGTGTGCCCAACTATCAAAACGACTCCTACAGCTGCGAATGTAAATCGAATGGAACATGGATAACGAAAGGGCTTCATTGTGAAACGATACTGAGTAAGTTCTTTTAAAGGGTTTTGTAAGAAATAAAAGCGTGTATTTGCAAGGAAAAAGAACTCTTATCGAACTAGGAAATTCAAAATCCAAAGCATCCAAGTAGTAAACAAATAACAACTAAAGATAAGATATATGATGTTAAGACCGTAGTTTAAACAGTTTAATCCCCTCTCGGAAATACGTTACTTAATTATATAACATTCAATTTTCAAACTTCTGCAGGCGGATATTCCAGTGCCTTTGTTTACTGGTCCTTCGACGACCCAGCAAGTTCGAGTCCTTTAACAAGCACCAACTTGGATATGTCATCGTTTGTTCTATCATGGGATCCGGTCTCGGAACCAGGTCGGAAACATCCGGTTGTTAAATGCAAAGATGGTGCCAGTTGCATACAGATATGGAAAAGTGTACCATGTATAAAGTAAGAATAGGCTAATTTAGTTGTCTATATAACCTTGATTTGTCGATATAACCTTGATATAGTTACTGCGTCATATCGAATAAATATTTAACATCGTAACTTTCAGTACTTTATTTCAAAATATTTATTTGAATGTATCTGCCCTACCTGGCAGAATTGAGACAAATTCTCTAACCAGCAATTATGCTATTCATCACAAGAAAAATTATGTGTTTGCTTGAAGCTGCTTGACCGTAAAGGCCCTCTTGATAAACCTGATACACGTCTGTAATCTGAATTTTGATTACTTAAAGAAAACCTCAACAAGCTATCGTTATTCTTGACTAAATCAATTATGAAAATAAACATGATTTTTGCATCATTTTTTTCTTAAAGCACCTTCGGTAGTTGCCAGCCAACAGTGACGTATAGTTTGTGGATCAAATTTACTAAGTTCCAGGCTATACGATCGGCTATCATCATGCTATCCTATAACTCTGGTGTCCGAACAGGCATGAGTTTCAAAGCTAGAAATACTGGAGAATTTGAATTTGCAATCTCAGTTTCTACATCAAAACGCTGGTTTCTACATCCTTTCGGTAGGAACGTCGTCAGGACAAGATGGAATCAATTCACTTTAACTGTGGACGATAACATTGGAGTTTGTGCCTTCATCAACGGAGTGAAAGATGCCTGCCAAACTACATATCAATCGGTTTCATTGACTGACTATGCGAATACAGCAGTTAGATTGGGAGGCGCTTGGTTTGCCGATAGTGAACCAGACATCTATATTGATGACTTCGCCGTGTGGCAAGTGGCACTTACTGAAAACGAAGTAAAAAATCTTTACGAGCAAACCAAAAATTAACATTGTAAGAAGAACTTATAGATAACCTCATTCAATAAAGATAAACTAACTTGAGCGAACGAATAACAAACCTCAATTCAGCGTTCATTGAGCATGTGTATTGAGCACAATAAGAACATTGCATGCTTTGTGAATGTAGAGCGGGGGGCTAGCTCCTTATTCAGTTACATTAGAAAAGGGGGTTATGAATTTCACATTTTCGATTCCTAAATAAGAACTTAACTTTTAATCTAATTTGTTATTTAGCTTGCACAGGCATGTATGTGTTATAAATTTGTTTTTGTGTAGATTTAACCATTACTCAGAGAATAGTCGCATTTGCCGATTCATTGATTCGCCTTCGCCAAAGTCGCGCAGCCAGAGTGAATCTAGTGGAAACCAACAGATAGCAAAATTGTACTTGCCATGCGCAAAGTAACCACAGGGCGCCATGAGAAACTGACGCAGGGACTTTGTTTATTGGGAAATCCGCCATAATGAAATGTTGCCGCCCTTTTGAAATCGTGTATACGCAGCAATGATACCATGAACATTTTTATTATGTTTACTTTTGAGCAAAGGTGGAAAAAAGGAAAAAGAAGTGTGGAAGAGTACAACAAACGAGATAATTTTTAGATAATTGTTAATAGTTTAAGGCAACGAAAACGTTCGTACCTTTCTTCGCGTTGCTTGAATATAAAAACATCAAATATTTAGGCAGTTCCTAAAAAAACACTAGCTTTAATATATATGCAGCACAAAGCTGACAAAACGAAAGCGTTAATTCAAATGCCACATTTTGTCCAGTCTTTTTCCAGTTCAAAAAATTTCATCATTCCTTTGTCCGCACTGAAATCTTTCGGGTCCAACATGTTTTCATATCAACCATTAAGCTTTCAGCAATTTATAAATACGATAAAATGGTTTCATCAAATCTGGATTCAGCCTGGATTCAGCCTGGATTCAGCCTGGATTCAGCCTGGATTCAGCCTGGATTCAGCCTGGATTCAGCCTGGATTCAGCCTGGATTCAGCCTGGATTCAGCCTGACCATGAACTATAGCGCTTCCGTTTGTTTTTTTGTGCATGGATTATGAATAATAAAGAATGGGAATCAGGGGAAATTTTTATGAGACCTATCGATAAAACTACTTCCAGGATTACCTCAAAGTTTAAATTGCCTTAATTTAAATTGAGGCAATGTGAATTGCTCACGATAACAATTCTTGCACACTTGTAAATAGAAAAATAATCCCTTCAAGGCTACAACTGATCTTTTACGAGGATTGAAAAATTAATTTGTGCGAAGCTAGCAAGGCGTTCTACGGCACTTTAAACTCAACTGATTAGGAACTGAAACTACGGTGATATCTCAAAATCGGCACTTTGCAATGCTTAGGTATTTAAACTAAGGTAATGAGAATTGCTCACGATGACAATGCTTGTATGGTTGTAAGTGGGAAAATATTCTCTTCCAGGCTACAACTGATCTTTTACGAGGATTGAAAAATTAAATCGTGCGAAGTTAGCACGGCGTTCCACGGCACTTTAAACTCAACTGATTAGGAACTGAAACTACGGTGATATCTCAAAATCGGCACTTTGCAATGCTTAGGTATTTAAACTAAGGTAATGAGAATTGCTCACGATGACAATGCTTGTATGCTTGTAAGTGGGAAAATACTCCCTTCAAGGCTACAACTGATCTTTTACGAGGATTGAAAAATTAAATTGTGCGAAGTTAAATTGTTACGAAGTTTTTAAAATAATGTCATAATTTAATAAGTTTTACAAACACTGGCATCGTGAAAGCCGACCTAAAGACAAAAACTCTGTAATTCGAACATTGAATAAAAAGAAATTAGGGCAAATGAGGCTGAAAGATTATGCCAAAGAAGACTGTTTGTTCAAGGAAGACAATCTATATTTACTATAAACAAAAATGCAGAAGTTTTTGAGTTTTTGTCTATGTAGCGAAAGAAACTAGCAAAACCACATGTTCCACCGTCTCTAAGAGCTTCTCCCGTAACAATGCTGTGTGAATTGATGGTGGCTGGATTGCTAGTAGTGAGCCCAATATTTATGTTGACGACCTGGCCATTCGAAACATCGCTCTTAACGTAACTGAAGTGAAAAGCCTTGATTCCAAACATAGTCAAAATAAGCTGCTGAAAGTTTCTCGTCTTGGCTCGTCTTGGCTTTAATAGAGCAAACGAGGCTTTTTTCTAAGACTGAAAAAGTTCATTTGGTAATAGGTCTTTTAAAGCCCGGCTAAATTCTAATTTAGATAATCATTCGATTTATATGCAAAGGTAATCTTTTAAAGCAATGGAGTGAGTAAACTTTTAGCTATGTTCATATATTCGTATAAACTTCAAAGAGGGTTCACCTCAGATTATTATGCTTTTAAAAATCTCTCATAAATATATTTGTGTGTGCTGCTGTAAACATTTTGGCAGTTGGCAATATGTTTGGATGTGTGCTACTGTAAGCAATTTTGCAAACAACCATACCAAGTGTAGTACATATCTTTGCCATTTTGATCAACTAAAGTCAATAAAATCCATATTGCTATATTCCTTTTTGCTAACAATAGTGCATTGGGTTGAGCTGGCCAATTTTGAAGATTATTTTTATGCATTTTGCCAATATGCACTGGAATAATTTACGGCTTTTTTATTCACTATATTTATATTTACATTTTATTCACAAATTAAATTTTTTTTTCTTCTATATAGCAAATGAAAATTTGAGGTTTTCTCTTTTCTTCAGCAAAAGGAGTGATCACACTGTTAACGATTCATAACAGTTTTAAATATACTTTATAGCTTCTTTTGCATCAATCAGATAATTAGGAAATATTGCGTCATTATTAGTGTGCTAATTTAGAATCATATGACTGTCTGCCTCTGCATGCCATTCATTACAATGTCATGTATATAATTTTTGTTCACGTCATTTTGAAAAAGGGTTCTGACTTTTTTATCTTTATATTCCTTTTGTGGTACACTTCAACACCAATAAAAAGCTTTCCCTTGACTTTCTTTAAAGCCAAAAGTACTAAAAATTATCGGTTAAGGAAGGCAGATCTGCAATTCATGAAGCCAGTAGCACCTAAATACAAATAAAATCTCGAGTGGCGAGGTGATTTTGCTGTGTGAAGACGAAGTGCAACAGAATGAACCATATGTTACTTTGTATTATTCTTTTTCAATTGTCAAGTAATTACGATTAGAGATATTTTTGTATTAAAATTGTCAAGTAATTACGATTAGAGATATTGTTTGATTAAGAACATTATCCTCTCAAGCATCTTGTAGACAGAAGAGCGTATTTTGAAGGCTTCCAGGCTTGATGTAGAATTTCAAAAATGCATTTGGTAGGGTAGTTTAATTCTGGTGGACATGGAGCAATCTTGAGACTGGGATCGTGCACGCAAAGCCGTGGTCGCATCTCAACAAGAGCTGCATATTTAATACCAGCAACGACTTGCCTTGTAGCTTGCAAAATTTTGGTAGCAATGAGTCTGCAATGAAGAACAATTTTTCAAGTTAAAAAGCTAATGACGAAATTTGTTTACGCCTTAGCATTGATGTTCATAAATGTAAAGATTTCAATTTGACTGTAAAGTCTGAATGACGTAATTCTCAGTTACTTTTTATTTCGAAATATCATGCACTCGAAGGAAAGGTTTTTTAGAAGCATAAATAAAATTGATACAGATATGATTTTCCATTTAAACCAACTATCATAGCAAGGGATAAAGCATATTTCAATGTAAAGTTAAGTTGAGGGTATTTGTAATGTAATTTTTGTGCGTTATAATGTATTCAAATTTAGGCTAGAGTTCTATAATTGCTTGTTCGGAAAAAGATGCCTTGAATTAGATTATTACATTTCATGAATGCAAATACAGTGAAAAATATAATTCATAGTCACAATGATTAGTCTCATTAAAGTCTCACAATAGAAGAACAATTACCTTGAGTTGGTTTTCAAATTGTATTCTGTCACTGCAAAAGTCACTCCTTCTTGGAGAATGTCATCTTTTTCAATCTCATCTTTTGTCATTTCCACGATTCCTCCTGGCATTTGCTGTGCATAGCAAGACGTTGCAACAGCAAGCAGAAAAAAACACAACAATGAAGCTTGTCTTGCCATTTTGAAAACTTGAATGTTTACTTTCGAATATATATCGATCAGTGATATATTCACGCTGGAGCACAAGGTGAAGTTGTGGAAACGAACCGTCTGCATTTAAATGTATCTATGTTTTTTCAGGTTTACGTCTGCTGTTTACACCATATGGTATTCCACTACGATTTAGCAAACAAATTAGAGCATGCTTCGAAAGTATGCCAAATTCTGTAAACAAACTATGTGCAATATTTGTAAGTGCAGAGTTCTTTATTAAGAATCTGTTTTCTACACATTTCCAGAACGAATCAATCCTCCATATTTTTACCATCTATACAACATACCTGTCAATAAAGGAAGGAATACTTAAAGGGATAAGTTAATAGGATCTCAAACATTACAGAGAGAGGCAAATAAAGCATACATATTTTATGTGTCTGTAGATAAGAAGAGAGGTTGATGCCCTGAAAAAAATCTTCTTTTGCCAAGTATTTGCACTGTCGCCATAATTTTGTTTATAAAAATAAAGAGCCTCCTAAAGGAGACAATTCAATTCAAGCAACTATGTGTGGATGGTTTTGAAATGTTCAAAAAATGCGGTCAAAAAATCCGCTTGTAAATTTGTAGCTATGTTTCCAGATTTCTTTTGAGGAGGCTAAACGGCTCGTGTGCATACCAGTCTATTGTTTTCTGCGTTTAAGAAAACCAGTGTAGCTGTAGCAAGAATCACTTCACAAAAATTACTCAGTTGTCGAAATGGCGTCTGATATTTGAAATTGAAAAAGCAAGAAATTAACGTAAAGCGAAACATAAGAAATTGCCATTGTAATCATTGCTAAAATTTCAGTGGCACACAAAGTGAATACAAGGCCGACTTCTCCGCTATTGAAACTTAAGGAATAGGAATCACAAAATTGAAGCATTTGTTGTAACGCACAGGACCAGAGGCGGCGCAAAGGGTTTATGAGGGGGATAGTTACCCCTTTCTGTTTAGAAATTAATTCAACAGCGTTAGGAAGGGCTAGATCATACTTTCTCCTAACAAAAATTCACTCGGTGCAAGGCACTGAAACGAGGCAAAGGGCGTGGTTTCACTGGTCAAGCCCATTACAGATCCACTCTGCAGTAGCTTGCGTCGCCACTGTGTAGGACACAATACAAGTGTGATAAATTTTTGGCATTCTTAAACATGTTAAGGAAGAAACTAACAAACAACCAAAGGCATAAAATTTTTATTTCGAATAAAGAGAGGGTAAAAGAATCCTAGCCGAACGAAAATAGATTATTTACTAGGTATGCTGTTAATGTGGAGCAAACGACATATTTCTCGGGGTAAAAATGCTTCAAAAGTCATTTTTTAATCTTGACTTGACCGTCAATCCGTTATTCATGCTCAAAAGTTCAGCGTGCCTTCTATTTACAATTAATAAAGATTCCATAAAAAGATTTTTTACGTTGCTAATAGATATCGACAATGCTATTAGATATCGACAATGCTTTGAGGTGAAATAGAACATTCAGTTCCTTTTCATTTATCCAATGACGATGAAAGAGGGCACCCGTTCATCATTCATTTCTTGAGGCTGACATCATATTTACGAAAACAAATAGTGCTTAAGTAATATTGCAAAAGGGACCTATTATAACAGTTATCATTGACAGTATACGGGCAAGAAAATAACAAGACCCCACCGAAAAAAGGACATGACGCTGACAGCTTTTGCTGACTGGAAACTTCAACTAATGGTGATGCTGGCATTTCCATTATCAACATTGTCAATCTCATGCAGCTCTAGATTTCACTGCAAAACGCCTGAAATCAAATACATCAGCATGGATAAACTGACAAATATGACCTTGAATGGAACAGTGCTTAAGTCATTCCAAGCAAAGGACATTTCAGAATGCCAGAGATCTTGCCTCCATGAAGAAAAATGCCAGTCACTGAATGTCAATATCAGTACAGCGATTGGCCTGACATGCGACCTTTTGGACATCAATATCTATAGCAATTCGTCGCTTCTTCTTCAGCAAAGTGGATCCGTTCACCTCTTTATTCCGGTATAGTTAAAAGCGATTAATTTATTCTTTGCAATTGAAAAGGAATAACTTTTATATGTTGATTACTTGCAAACTAAGAAGCTTGATGTTAGTAAATTTCTTTTTAGAATAAGTGCAAGAATAAACCATGCAAGAACAATGCAGTATGTGTGCCCAACTATCAGAACGACTCCTACAGCTGCGAATGTAAATCGAATGGAACATGGATAACGAAAGGGCTTCATTGTGAAACAATACTAAGTAAGTACGTAGAAAAAGATGAATAGCAGCATTATAAAGACTTTAAAAAAGCACCTTTGTCGACATTAAATGATAACATTATGACTGTTGCATCCCCATTATTTTTATTGAGCAATGAATATAGTATGTTCATAAATTTGGACTAAGTTTTTTGTTTTAAATAACGTGACACATGTTGTCTCAATGTAGCGAGAGGAAAATTTTAATTAGGGATGAAAATATTTTTTGCTTCACAAATTCTATTATGTCTACTTGTGTCATATGTCTACTCAAATAACACTTTTTTGCAGATGGATATTCCAGTGCCTTTGTTTACTGGTCATTCGACGATCCAGCAAGCCTTGCCCCCTTGACAAGCACAAACTTGGACATGTCATCATATGTAGCATCATCATGGACTCCGGTCTCGGAACCAGGTCGAAGACATCCGGTTGTAAAATGCAATGTGCCAGGCCGTGCGCCTCCTTGCATGTATATTAAGTCAAATGTACCATGCCTTCAGTAAGAATGTATATTAATTTGCATTTATAATGTTTTGCATGCTATTAAAATTTTAATGAAAAGACCAAAATCCTTGAAAATTTGTCGGGTTTAGAACCTGTAGTCCGATGCTTTTTGTTTGCAGCATTTTTGGAACTTGTAAGCTGACAGTCACTTACAGTGTTTGGATCAAATATACAGAATTTGAAGCGTCAAGATCTGCTCCAGCATATATATTCCATTCGTATGCTTTTAATCAACGTCGGGGCATTTCCTTTAGATCGAAAAGTGATGGAAAGTTTACTTTCGCTGCTTCCATTTCGTTAAGCAAACGATGGATTATTGACGGTTTTGGAGGAGCTGTTGTGAAGACAAACTGGAATCAGTTAACTTTTACAGTGGATGATAATGCAGAAAGTTGTGCCTTTGTCAACGGAGTGAAAGATGCCTGCCAGTCAACCCATGCTTCGGTCTCCTTGACTGATTTGCAATCCAGTTTCGAAATTGGCGATTCCCCGTCTGGCGATATTGAGCCTGGTATTTATGTTGACGATTTGGCTGTTTGGCAAGTCATTCTTACTGAAGACGAAGTAAAAAACCTTTACGAACAAACAAAAGAGTGATTGTTTTTTGACAAATGCTAGACTAAATTTGATGTAAAGTGCACTTATCGCTGAAAAGAAAGCAATATTCTCTATCGTAGAATGCAATAAAAAGAAAATGAAACATTTGTTAGTGTTTCTTAAAGGCCACTTTATCTGGATATGGCAATTAATTTATCTAGATATTAATACAAAAAGACTTAAAATATCTCAATTAAGTTATTAAAGTTAAGTTGATATCAACACGTGACAAGTTCCAGTAGCAGTAATTCAATAAATATTATTCTTATGTTGTTGTTGTAATTAGGTTAGAGGCAATCTTGGCCTAGATACCTTTTTAATAAAAAAGGAAAAGAAAAAATGTTGTACTGGACACCTAAGAGCAAAACTAATTTGAGAATACATTATAGACCACTTCTAACTCAAGATCACATCTTGTCACATCTTTAAACTCGTGCATTAGAGTTATTCAATGGTTGGTTTCCTGTTACATAGTAGCAAACAATTCATACAAAGTTTATGACTATTAGGCCAAGGGTCTAATAAACGTATCTTAAGAATTGTTTTATTCATGCAGACGTAGATGAAAGTGCTTTGATGTACTAAAGATATTATAGAAGAAAAACAATTTTTTTGCGGTACAGAATTTGAAAATGGCTTTGAAAAAAGCAAACATTTAACGACATACTAAAAGCTTTTTCGTCTGACACTCCTCAGAGCATAAAACGTCAGAATAAGGTTCCGAAAGAACACGATGGAAAATATATATCCAGTTGTGAGTCGAAATAGGTCAATCAGAAAAACGCAAGCACAAGACCGGTATGGTTGACCAATCAGTGCCGCGAGCCTATAGTGTTGTTGCTAGAAAGTAAGGTGAATCATTTTTTGTATGAGGATGAAATGCTTGACAATTTCTCAAAACGATGCAAAAAAGGCAAATCGTTTCAACAAAAAAGCAGGTTACCCTCCTTTATTGAAATGGCCTGTTTTGAATTCACAAGATTTTGATAGGAATTCAAGCAAAATACACATTTATTAAAGTTATGAAAAACTAGAAGCCAGTTGCAATTTATTTAAGGCTACTAGGAAACGGTACCACTAGCTTGAATTGTCGCTAAGTGATGGTAACCAAGAGACATGAAAATGGCTCAATTGGGGATAAGAATCAGGGTCGGTAACTGTTTGCGAAAGGTAAAGCCCTCTTTCATTTGAACGCTTGTATGTGGAAGAAGATGGGAATTTTTTGACCGGGCGAAATGCGTTTAGTAAAGCGAAATTCTTTGCACACTTCAAATAATTTTATGATATGACTTCTCTGGTGATAACACATTCATGATTTCTGCGAAGCTACTTTAACTTTTACCAGCAAGCTCAAAATTACTCTTCAGCCAATATTTTTGTGTGTGGTCGAAAACACGTTAAATTTGTTTGAAAACATGTATCGTGGTCATATGGTGCAAATAACGCATGGGAACCTGTGAAAACATTGGAAACTATAAAACGCTCCTCTCGCTCGTAAAAAATTACTGATCGACAAATATTCGAAAGTGAACATTCAAGTTTCAAAATGGCAAGACAAGCTTTATTGATGTGTTTCTTTCTGCTTGCTGTGGCAAAGTTCTGCTCTGCACAGCAAATGCCAGGAGGAATCGTGGAAATGACAAAAGATGAGATTGAAAAAGATGACATTCTCCACGCAGGTGTGACTTTTGCAGTGACAGAGTACAATTCCAAAACCAACTCGAGGTAATATTTCTTCAATCGAGAGTCTTGACTTTTTTATCATATATCATAGTTATCTTTTTATATTCATAAATTAGGTGTCTTGAACTGTCATTCATTTCAGACTTCTTTGCACAATTATAACTGAATCGTTTGTAACAAATAGATTTATTATCGTTATTGAAAAGTGCGAGATCCAACCTATTTTGTAGTCAAGCTTAGTTTACTTGTTTTGCACAGATGAATTCATTGAGGTTGAACATACTAGAGGGGTGAAGGAAAGGGGTGACTCTTGACTTGAATAAGACAGGAAAGTCGTATGGAAATTGGGTCAAAGCCCGAGTTACTCGGGGTATATGACTTAACCGGATTCAACTGTAAAGTGATACTTGTTAAATACTTTCACTTCGCCAAACTAAAGCTTCTGATTGCTTTCCAGACTTATTGCTACAGAAATTTTACAAGCCACAAGACAGGTTGTTGCTGGCATCAAATATGTAGCCCTTGTTGAGTTGCGACCACGGCTTTGCGTGCATGATCCCAAACTCAAGATTGCTCCATGCCCACCACAGCTAAACTTGCCAACCAGATGTGTGTTTGACATCCTTCATCAAGCTTGGATGCCTTTGAAATACACAGTTCTGTCTACAAAGTGCTTTAGAGCGCAATGAACATAAATCTTAAGAATTTGTCTGTAAGCAAATTATAATTCATGAAGAAGAAAAGTAACACACTGTTATCTTTTTTAGACTGAATCTTTCTGATAGCAAAAGAGCAGATCCATCTACAGATTGCTAAAAATACCTCGTTGCCTGTTCTTGCAATCTAAACTGTTTTTTGTTTGAGAATCTGTTCGAGAAATGTTAAAAAAACATTTCTTTCTTTTTCTTTTCTTTCTTTCTTTCTTTCTTTCTTTCTTTCTTTCTTTCTTTCTTTCTTTCTTTCTTTCTTTCTTTCTTTCTTTCTTT